TGTCCGTTAAGGCACGATGGATGGCATGATGAATACATTATACTCATCATCTGAGGTTCGATCAAGCATGCTAAACGCTGCCCCCTGTAGTGGGGTTATCGCCACAACAGTAAGCAACTATCCATGTCCGTCTACCACTTCTCTTCTGTCCTTTCACTGTGTTTATATGCCTGTCTGCCCCTGCTTCTCTGCTACCTTCCTGTTTGTCTGCCTGCTTCTCTGCTACCTTTCTGCTTCTCTGCTACCTTCCTGCTTGTCTGCCTGCTTCTCTGCTACCTTTCTGCTTGTCTGCCTGCTTCTCTGCTACCTTTCTGCTTCTCTGCTACCTTCCTGTTTGTCTGCCTGCTTCTCTGCTACCTTTCTGCTTCTCTGCTACCTTCCTGTTTGTCTGCCTGCTTCTCTGCTACCTTTCTGCTTGTCTGCCTGCTTCTCTGCTACCTTTCTGCTTCTCTGCTACCTTCCTGCTTGTCTGCCTGCTTGTCTGCTACATTCCTGCTTCTCTGCTACATTCCTGCTTATCTGTCTGTTTCTCTGCTACCTTCCTGTTTGGCTGCTTCTCTGCTACCTTCCTGCTTGTCTGCCTGCTTCTCTGCTACCTTCCTGCTTGTTTTCTTGCTTCTCTGCTACCTTCCTGTTTGTCTGCCTGTTTGTCTGCCTGCTTCTCTGCCTGCTTCTCTGCTACCCTTCCTGCCTGTCTGCCTGCTTCTCTCCTACCTTCCTGCTTGTCTGCCTGCTTCTTTGTGTGTTCCGCTGTTTCTCCACCACCTGCATGCTTACCTCTCTGTATGCGAGTTAGGTTCCTTGTGTAATTTACATAGTGTGTGTGAGCGGTTATTGTTGTCATTGTGTTGCCCCGGGTCCTTATAGCCAGGCTTCACTCTACCATGACTGGCCTGTTGTGTCCTTCTTATACACCGGTACTCTTTATGCCTCGTGTTATTCAGTGCTTTGTCGTTCAGCTTTATACATGGGTATAAAGTATACAGGTTTGTCGTCGTGCTTTATACATGGGTATAAAGTATACAGGTTTGTCGTTCAGCTTTATACATGGGTATAAAGTATACAGGTTTGTCGTCGTGCTTTATACATGGGTATAAAGTATACAGGTTTGTTGTCGTGCTTTATACATGAGTATAAAGTATACAGGTTTGTCGTTCAGCTTTATACATGGGTATAAAGTATACAGGTTTGTCGTCCTGCTTTATACATAAATATAAAGTATACAGGTTTGTCGTCGTGCTTTATACATGAGTATAAAGTATACAGGTTTGTCATTCAGCTTTATACATGAGTATAAAGTATACAGGTTTGTCGTCCTGCTTTATACATGAATATAAAGTATACAAGTTTGTCGTCCTGCTTTATACATAAATATAAAGTATACAGGTTTGTTGTCGTGCTTTATACATGGGTATAAAGTATACAGGTTTGTCGTCCTGCTTTATACATGAGTATAAAGTACACACTGTTATGAGTTAGGATTCATTAGCCATTCACGCAGCCACTTACGAAACCTGTACATCTTTTCCAAATCACATAGCGGCTTTGTTTACATTTTTTCAATAGTTTACGAGCTCCGAAGCACTACGAGGTTGTCTATAACGATAATAATCTTGGGTTGTGACGTTTCTCAGCTCTTAAACTGTTTAATAACTGTAAACGAAGAGGCTATAACTGGTTATTTTGCGTTGGTTTAGGGGATCAATGTCCTCCCCGGCCCGGTCTTTGTGACCAGACCTTTGTTGGTCTGGTCAACCAGGCTGTTAGACGCAGATGTTCGCAGCCTGACGTACGAATCGGATATACAGGTTTCGCAAATGGATGGGAAAATAACGAATACTGCTCAATATACGAGAGCTTCAAGACCTTCATGTCTCGAGCTAAATTTGTCAATAATGAGTTGAGTACTGCTTGGAAATCTTAACATTTTATGAGGTTAAATCTTCAATATTAACATTTAAATCTTTAAATAGACAGAATCTAAATTAGCTTGTGAATACAGCCAGCCTGTCGTTGTATTATAAATAAAACGTGATGAACCCCTCTGATGAAGGATACCTGATCAACCAGGCTGTGATTGATACGTCAGACTGCAACCAGGGGCATCTAACAACCTGGTTGACCAGAGCAAGAGACCAGGCAGTGGGTAGACACAAGGTAGGTAGGTAGGTAGGAAGCTCTTTGTTTACACTTCAAACACCTCTTGCATCACCATCCTGCATGAGTGGATCACTGGCATAAATGATCGTAGCAATAACATTATTTGGTTGAAAGACTCAGTATGGAGTCAGCACGCACACAGCCACAGTGCTGAATAACGCAAGACGTAGCTTGCCACCTTGGGGGGGGGGGGCCTTCCAAGATCAAAGAATATACGTGTGAGTATTGTTAATACCTTATAAAAGAATGGAATACGTGGGAAGCTTGACTGTCCTTTAAAAAAAAAAAGGGATATACGTGCGGGTCTTGATAATGTCCTTTAAAAGGATATATATATACGCGTGAAGCTTCCTTATGTGCTTTAAAACACTTATAATTGCGTATCGGTTACGCAACCTGCTATCCTGTTAACTAGATTGCACTTTACCAAAAGTTGCGTCAACTCCTGTTATATTACTGTGCTACCGGCTGTGTCGAATGCACCCTTGAGGGCTTAAGGGAAGAATAACTACATAATATTGTATTTTAATTATAACATATTTGATCTACATCAAAATACATTTTACCTGTCAGAGATATATATAGACACAGTGAGAGAGAGAGAGAGAGAGAGAGAGAGAGAGAGAGAGAGAGAGAGAGAGAGAGAGAGAGAGAGAGAGAGAGAGAGACAGAGAGAGAAACAGAGAGAGAGACAGAGAGAGAGACAGAGAGAGAGAGAGAGAGAGAGACAGAGAGAGAGACAGAGAGACAGAGACAGAGAGAGAGAGAGAGAGGAGAGGGAGAATCAATTAACAAGAGTCCATCATCAACATTACCAACACATTAAAGCAGCAGGGAAGAAGGGAGAATGAGAAAGGAGGGATAGCAGGAAAGGAGACGAGAGTGAGAGGGGGGGGGGACAAGGAAGGTGACTGGTGCAAGAGAAGATAGTGAGAGGGAGGGGGTGGTGGGGATGAGGGGAGGGAGGGGAGGGGACTTACACCAGCACACAGGCTGTAATCCACACTACACAGAGCAGCGGCTTCCCCCCACATAATGCATGGGATTTAACTGTACCGGAGACGACCAGGGATTATTACCAAGGAGAAATTCAACTGGATGGAAGGGGGATTACACGCGGGTGGTTGCATGTGAACGCAGTGGATGGTTGAGTGGTGGCAGGCATACGTCTGTGGAAGACGCAACGGGGAAGATGAATTCATACAAGCAACACGTATGAAGAGATGAGTACCCTGGAAACACAAACCGAAACTGTCTCTATTTTCTGCTTGTTACAACTTGTAATAAAGTTGTTACATCTTGGCTTAACGTGTTTATGACGTATTAGAACGTTGTTCCAACTTGCTATATTGGTTGTTATAACTGGTTAGCAGGTGTTAAAACTTGTTCGAACGTTGTACCAACGTCGTAATTTCGGTGTGTTTGGCGGGTATATAGATGATTGGGCCGTGAACACAACCATACGAGTGTCGAACCATCCAAGATGACCCACCAGCGGATAACAAGAGCACAAGGGCCGTGACGAGGGTTCGAACCTACGTCTGAGAGGATCCTAGACGCTGCCTTATATAATGAGATGTAAACAGAGAGACTGAAAAAAATAAAGCATAAGCTGAAGACATCATACCAAGGAAGGGAAATATCAGGGGGAAAGCGCCAAACCATTACGACTATATGGCACTTGGAAGGGGTCATCAGGATCTGGGATGGGACGGGGAAGAGGAATGGTGGCCAACCACTTGGATGGTCGGGGATTGAACACCGACCTGCATGAAGCGAGACCGTCGCTCTACCATCCACCCCAATTGATAGCTGAAGAAATAATACAATGGGAACAAAAAGTCATACATGAGACAACACAAAATTGAAAATACGTTTTCACATATGCAAATTAGAAATAAAAACCTTCACTAGTATTAGACCTGATTTACAAGCGAAAGTTAATTCACAGAAAACGGTAAAGAATAAGAGAAATCCTAAAAGAACAACATAGGCCACTTTCAAGCAACCCCCCCCCCCCAAGTTTTTTTTTTTGGTTGTTGTTGTTGTTTAAGATTCGCTACCTGGAACAAAAAGTTCCAAGTAGCACGGGTTATGGTGAGCCCGAAGTGTGGGTGGGGGCGGAAGGGGGAGAGGGTGAAAGGCGATATCCAAAACTGGGACAAAATAAATGATATTAGCTCCAGCACAGCAGAATTTGAAACATGCACTCAGCCCCGGGTCCCACTCCTTGGAAATCCATATTTATAAAGAAATGTAAAATACCAGCAACGCTCACTATAGTATGAAGAAAGATCTTGAATGCGGGTCAAATATCACAATCCCTAAAGTCAGTAGACATGGCTCCACTTTACAAGACAACACGTTGGCTAAGAATTATCAGATCGATTACACCACGTACAGCACGCTGGACTTGTGATACTGTGGTCCTGGGTTCGATCCCAGGCGCCGGCGAGAAACAATGGGCAATGTTTCTTTCACCCTATGCCCCTGTTACCTAGCAGTAAAATAGGTACCTGGGTGTTAGTCAGCTGTCACGGGCTGCTTCCTGGGGGGTGGAGGCCTGGTCGAGGACCGAACCGCGGGGACACTAAAAAGCCCGGAAATCATCTCAAGATAACCTATCGAGCCTGGCCTCAGGCTGGGCTGTGGGAGTAGAAGAACTCCCAGAACCCTCTCAGGTAACTCCCACAACCGATGGATATTCAATTAACTGTAAAACAGAACGCGAAGAGTAACAGTCTAGTCAAGCAACATCTAGAGTCCGAGAACTCAAAAGCTCTGTACCCCGGGGCTCCGTCCATGCACCCCTTGCTTTTTCTCATTCTTTTATCTGGCAGATAAAAATACAAGTCACTGCTTCGTGTCATCCTTTGAAGACGACAGAAAAATCAGCGGGAACATTACCTCTGTGGAAGACGCTTAAAAACTATAAGCCGAAATATAACGAAGTCTTCGGCTGGGCAGAGGAAAATAACATGATGTTTAACTGTGATAAATTCCAGATTTTGAGGAATGGCAAAAGTGAAGAAATTAAAAGAAATCAAGTGTACAAGACAATCAGATCTCACAGATAATCAAATCTCACAGACAATCAAATCTCACAGACAATCAGATCTCACAGACAATCAAATCTCACAGACAATCAAATCTCACAGACAATCAAATCTCACAGACAATCAGATCTCACAGACAATCAAATCTCACAGACAATCAAATCTCACAGACAATCAAATCTCACAGACAATCAAATCTCACAGACAATCAAATCTCACAGACAATTAGATCCCACAGACAATCAGATCGCTCAGACAATCAGATCCCACAGACAATCAGATCTCTCCATCAGATCTCACAGACAATCAGATCTCACAGAAGGAAAACCACACATAAAAGATCCAGGAATATTGATGACAGACGACCTAACGATTATTGACCATAACAAATCAAACATATCGTCAGCCAGAAAAATTATAGCATGAACTATGAGCAGCTTAAAATTCAGAGTTTCCGCCACAATTCTCTAACTATTCAAATCACTTGTGTTTTTGTGTCCTGCTCAGTACTCTCGTCTACCTCTTCAAATCAGGAGATATTTCTGAAAAAGTTAATACAGAAGACATATATGGCAAACATAGATCCGATAAGGCACCTATATCAACGGAGATCTTTTCAAAGTACTCAAAAATACTCTCTAGAATGGAGACGAGAGAGATAGAGGTATCACATGTACTTAGAATGTTCTGGAAGCTCAGGTTCCAAGTACTCACAATAAGATAACAACGCAAAATACATCAGAATACACAGAATACATCCAGTGCATAGCAGCGGCGCCATAGGCACAATCAGAGACCACTGTATAAGCATCAAAGATCCGCGGCTCTTGAATACCCTCCAAAGTGTATTCTGATATTGTTCAATAACAGGATAAAGCGTCGGACCAACCGGGTTGTAACAGATATCTAGCCCTAAGAGCCGCTCCAAGCAACAGCCTTTTACATCAAGATATCACATCTCAAGACTGGTCCAGGATGGCACTTAAGGAGGAGAATAGTAGTAGTAGTAGTAGTTTTAGATTCAGCTACTCAGAACAAAAGTTCCAAGTAGCACGGGCTATGGTGAGCCCGTAGTGGACTTACCTGGCACAGAAGCGGGGCTGTGTGTAAGGAGAAGAAATACAAAATACTCAGATAAATACTCAAGATATACTCAAGACGGACTCATGAGTAATTTACCAAGAAGAACTATAACTTGACAAGATAATATAAATCAGAAAATACAATTTATGATGGAACAGGGAAAAAAAATATGAACAGGTGAAATACAAAGGGAGGAGTTGGAGGACGTAAGGATTAACCAATCAAGACAGACGAAGGGGTTGGAAGAGCAAAAGGGGAAAGACTTAATAAGTTGAGGAAGATAATTTAGGAAAAGGAGACAATGGATTATCAGGGGAGATTGCTTAAGGATTAGCGAGGGAGACAGGGTAACAACAGCCAGCGGTCCCAGGAGAATATATTTAAAGATCCTTCGTAGGAGGAGCAGAAAGGAAAGGATAAACAGAGAGAAGAGATAGAATAAGGCACAAAATAAAGAAGCCCATCGTCCTATGGTCTTCTCTTCTAAGAGAATAAAGAGCATAGAAGAGAAGAGCAGAGAGAAGAGACTTTACAGCAGAGAAGCGCATAGACGAACCTGATACAAGATAAGAGTAGGTAAAAACTGAGGAGGAGGAGAAAAAGAAGAGGGAGGGAGGGAGAGACGGTGGATGGGGAAGACAGACAGACAGGAGAAAGAGAACAAATCCACAATGGCCGTGATGAGGGTTCGAACCTACGTCCACAGGAGGATCAACAGGTGGAATTAAAGTAAGTGTATTGAAGTAAGGGCGAAGAGGTGGAACAGCTTGTTGACCTTAATTGCGTCTCTGAGAGGCTGCGGGATCCGTGTGAGGGCAGTTATACTCCCGGTTGCAGTTCTTTTAACCATGTCGTGGCGCAATCGACTAAGGCGCATCTGGATCATCCCGGACGTAGGTTCGAATCCTCATCACGGCCCTTGTGGATTTATTCATTTGATGTATCACGCTATTGTGATTTCTGAGTGTAAGGAAGAGAGAGAGAGCCGGGGGGGGGGATGGAATAGAGTAGATTACCCAACCAAAATTTTGTATATTAATCAGAGAGAAAAAGAAGATGGATAAAAAGCTAGGAAACAGTAAATGAAAGGTACATTTTATTTATCGACTTAGAAGATGATGTCCTACCTTATAAGATGGATAAGAAGATGCATTAAATGATTATCTCATTTACCTGCATATCAGTCACCCATTTGAGTCTGGGCAGGACGACTGCCTGTACTCCTGAAACTTGCCCAAACCAAATTTGAAAACGAGGTCCTCCTCCTAAAATGGAGGAACTTGTCGTAACTATTTGGTGGAAAGTTCCAATATCTAGTGATGGACCGCCAGAAAGTTGACTTTTGTGTTATTGAATTTGGCCAAACAAGATATCTTGAACCGAAGCATAAGACCTAACCTAAGGGCTCCTAGCATGTTAGCTTACTACACGCTATCTTAGGCCGAATACAGTTCATACATGTGCTATAGTAGACCTAGGAATATTTAAGTTTAGTTTTTAGCAGAGTTTTTGTCCAGACTATAAAATGAACAATACAGAAAGCGGCTTACTAGTGATCCATCACTACATATTGGTACGTTCCGCAAAATAGTTACTGAGAGTGCAATCATTTCAGGAGGCTATGTTCAAGTATGTTTATTGAGATAAGCAATAAATACATCTCAAAGAGATAGAGTAGCTTAGGCTATTTCTACCCCCCCCCTAGGCTATGTTGCTTGAGATATGGCCGGTCACCCTCCCACAAAAAAAAAAAAAAAAATATCCCTCCTATAAAATGGAGTGATATATCCCGCCTATAAAATGGAGTGCTATATCCCGCCTGAAATAGGGAGCGACATATCCCACTCCACTTAATAGGCTTGCTGGCTTGCACGATTCTCTCTAGTATGGTTGGAAGCTTCAGTTCTTCCCTCATGTTGATGATTCTTGTGCATCTTGGGGCACCAGGCAATTACCCTCATGGCTTCATTCTGTATTACTACGTATGTTCAACAACAGAGGAAGTAAATTAGGTGCAAGGCATGATCATTAATTAGCGATCTAACAAGAATCACGTAGAATAGTTGATCATATTTAACATAGAAACCAATATTCGTACAATGTTTTTGACTGGTTTAAATCTTATCTTGCAAGTCGTTTACAATGTCACGGTTGATATCTACACTCCAAGGTATCCATGTCTACCTTGGATACTGTAAACTTGGATACTTGGAAACAGTATCTGCCCACATGTTTCAATTTCTCGTTGTTGACTCTTGAAAGCTGGAGGGACAATGGTTCTGCACAAAAGATTTTTTGAAATTAACACATTTTTAGGTTCATCTGAATTTGTGCAGCTGCCCTAGACTATATGACGAGTACAGAGTGTGTCAAAAAACTGATGCCATAACATCGCGTAACTCTAAGGTATCCTTATGGAAATTTTGAAAGTAATTGCCTTTACCCGCTGTGAAGAAAGACTTGAACACGAAAGTTCCAAGACAAGCAATGCACACTCAGCCTACGAGAACGTCGCCTGGCATATCTTTGCAGAATACTTACGACAGGTTGTGCAAAGATCTACCAAGGAGCAACTATACCTGCGTGGTAATTTTAAAGACAAACCAGAAAGGTGTTCTGAAGATATTTAAAAAAAAAGGTGTGTTCAAGTTCATGTTTATTAAGACAAGAAAGAAATACATCTCAAAGGTATAGAGTAGCTTAGGCTATTTCTACCCCCCCCCTCCCACCACCGTGTTTCTTTCACCCTGATAGCAGGGTTCACATAGCAGTAAATAGGTACCTGGGAGTTGGACAGCTGCTACCTGGGGGATGTGTAACAAAAAAAGAGGCTTGGTCGATGACCTGGCCGCGGGGACGCTAAGCCTCGAAATCATCTCAAGATAACCTACCTTAAGGTATCTTTGAAGAAGGGAAAGGGGAGGCAATTTATACCCAAATGATAATTCTGAGACAATCCCTTTTACCCAGAAGAGGTGTTCAAAATGACGGGCACGCAATGCCGGCTGAAAGCTTCCCCAGAATCACTATCATAATGAGGGGAGGTTAATGATGGCCTAGCTCAACCGCATTAACAAGGCCATTACAACATTTACGAGGTAATTACCGCGTTACCGCCTCCTTATTAACACTCTTACACCACTGTTGAACATCACGCGCGTGCGGACGCGCGCTCATCTCCTCTATTTGTTACCATAACCTGATCATTACAGCGAGGTTGGTGAGAACAGTGGTGGGGCTATCTTACCTTGGGGCTACCTTACCTTGGGGCTACCTTACCTTGGGGCTACCTTACCTTGGGGCCACCTTACCTTGGGGCTACCTTACCTTGGGGCCACCTAACCTTGGGGCCACCTTACCTTGGGGCTACCTTACCTTGGGGCTATCTTACCTTGGGGCTACCTTACCTTGGGGCCACCTTACCTTGGGGCCACCTTACCTTGGGGCTACCTTACCTTGGGGCTATCTTACCTTGGGGCCACCTTACCTTGGGGCCACCTTACCTTGGGGCTATCTTACCTTGGGGCCACCTTATCTTGGGGCCACCTTACCTTGGGGCCACCTTACCTTGGGGCCACCTTACCTTGGGGCTACCTTACCTTGGGGCCACCTTACCTTGGGGCCACCTTACCTTGGGGCTATCTTACCTTGGGGCCACCTTACCTTGGGGCCACCTTACCTTGGGGCTACCTTGCCTTGGGGCTACCTTACCTTGGGGCCACCTTACCTTGGGGCCACCTTACCTTGGGGCCACCTTACCTTGGGGCCACCTTACCTTGGGGCCACCTTACCTTGGGGCCACCTTGCCTTGGGGCTACCTTACCTTGGGGCCACCTTACCTTGGGGCCACCTTACCTTGGGGCTACCTTACCTTGGGGCTACCTTACCTTGGGGCTACCTTGCCTTGGGGCCACCTTGCCTTGGGGCTACCTTACCTTGGGGCCACCTTGCCTTGGGGCTACCTTACCTTGGGGCTACCTTACCTTGGGGCCACCTTACCTTGGGGCTACCTTACCTTGGGGCTACCTTACCTTGGGGCTACCTTGCCTTGGGGCTACCTTACCTTGGGGCCACCTTACCTTGGGGCCACCTTACCTTGGGGCTACCTTGCCTTGGGGCTACCTTACCTTGGGGCCACCTTACCTTGGGGCTACCTTACCTTGGGGCTACCTTACCTTGGGGCTACCTTACCTTGGGGCTACCTTACCTTGGGGCTACCTTACCTTGGGGCTACCTTACCTCGAGATGATTTTGGAGCTTAGCGTCCCCGCGGCCCGGTCGTCGAACAGGCTTCCTAGGGCTGGATACAGAGGCTGGATACAAAAGCTGGATACAGAAGCACAAGGATGGGACTCACCTCTGGTCAGGAAGGGGTGGGGAGAGGAATGGGGAGGACTGACCTCCGGCCCATTAATGAGCGGACAATCTTTTGGGCCATGGATAGGGTGGTTTGAGGGGTGGGAGGGGGGGGGAGGGAGGAAGCTCGGGAAGGACTGCCGGGCGCAGGTACTACGGGTACTAAGGTGGGCTTAACTAGACCTACGAAAGGTGGTTAATAAACCCACAACGAAAAACACCAAAAATTCGACGCCTGTTGTAATGCCATCCCTTCCTTCCTATTCA